GTTTCTTCAAACAAGAAGCCACAAAAAACAAATGCAGTCCAACGCCACCAAGCGAGAGCGAGAGAGAAGAGGGGCGAGATCCTGGGGGGTTGGCTGCCACGAAGAAAACAGGACCAAAGCAGTCATCATGTCATCGCAGACGCACCACCACCCTTGGCAGCACAAAGCCGCGCCAGATGTCCGCCAGCTCTGGAGCCGCTCCCTCGCGGCTGTCGAAGCGCTCCTCGTCCCAAGCGATCAGGTAGCCCAGCCGCATCACCTCGACCGCCCGCTTGCGAGCCGCTGTCGGGAAGAGCTCGTGCGACTGCGGCGACCACTCCGCCGCCTTGAGGATGAGCCTGCCCACCGCCACCGCCGCGGCCGCTGGCTCCAGGTTGGCCGGCCTGAGGGAGGGCAGAGGTGTGTCAAAGAGAGGATCCGGCGAGTCGGGGAGAGACCATTGCAGTGCGCGCCTCAGTGCGAGTGCCTTGGCCTCGCCCGCCACGCGCACGCCGAAGCGAGCCGTCGAAGCGTTTGCGGAGACGACGACGCCGACCTTGCCGTTCATCGAGGGCCGCGAGACGAGAGAGTGGATCGCGACTGTGGAACCGACGGCCGCAGCTGTCGGATCCGACTCGCCCCACGAGCAGAGGACGCGCGCCCGCTCGAGGGCAGAAGGCGCGCCGGCGAGCGGGTCGGCGCCGCCGCGCAGCAGCGCCCGCGCCCGCTCGACGGTGAGCGCCTGCGGAAGAGGGGCAATGGGCGTGAGGACAGCGCGCTCACGCCTTCGGCCGCTAGTCTCGGGCACGCCTCGAGATGCTGGAGCGGCGTCCAGCCGCGGCTGGCGACCAGCCAGGCGGCGAGGTCGGTGTGGCCTTGGCTGTTTGCGGCCTCCTCGGGCGTGCCGAAGGGCGTAGCGGCGCGGGAGGCGCCGTAGGAGGAGAGGAGCTTGGCGACCTCGAGGTGGCCCTGGTGGCACGCTGCGAACAGCGGCGTGGCGCCTTGCTCATCGGCTTGGTTGACCGCCGCGCCAGCCTCGAGGAGCAGCTGGGCGATCTCGAGCCGGCCCTGCTGGCACGCCATGAACAGCGGCGTGGCGCCGTTCTGCTTGGCTTGGTCGATCGCTGCGCCAGCCTCGAGGAGCAGCCGGGCGCACTCGAGGTGGTCGTGCTGGCACGCGATGTACAGCGGCGTGGCGCCATCCTGCTTGGCTTGGTTGACCGCCGCGCCAGCCTTGAGGAGCAGCCGGGCGCACTCGAGCTGGCCCTCCTGGCACGCCATGAACAGCGGCGTGACGCCGTCGTTGCGGGCTTGGTTGACCGCCGCGCCAGCCTCGAGGAGCAGCTGGGCGCACTCGAGGTGGTCCTCCTGGCTCGCTATGAACAGCGGCGTGGTGCCGTTGTCCTTGGCTCTGTTGATCGCTGCGCCGACCTCGAGGAGTAGCCGGGCGCACTCGGGGTGGCCCTTCTCGCACGCGGCGTACAGCGGCGTGGCGCCATCCTGCTCGGCTTGGTTGACCGCTGCGCCGGCCTCGAGGAGCAGCTGGGCGCACTCGAGCTGGCCCTTCTCGCACGCCATGAACAGCGGCGTGGCACCGTCCTCGTCCGCCTGGTCCATCGCGACGCCGGCCTCGAGAAGCAGCCGGGCGGCCTCGAGCTGCCCCCTCTCGCTCGCGATGGACAGCGGCGTGACGCCGTGCTCTGTGGCCTGGTCAGTCGCCGCGCCAGCCTCGCGCAGCAGCTGGGCGCACTCGAAATGCCCCTCCTGGCACGCAACGTACAGCGGCGTGCGTCCTTCAGCGTCTGCTTGGTTGACCGCGGCGCCAGCCTCGAGGAGCAGCCGAACGCAGCCGATCTCGCCAGTCAAGCTCGCAGCACTCAGCGGCGTGGCGCCTTCATCATCGGCCTGGTCGACCGCCGCGTTGGCCTCGAGAAGCAGCCGGACGCACTCGAGGTGGCCCTCCTGGCTCGCGATGGACAGCGGCGTGGTGCCGTGCTCTGTGGCCTGGTCAGTCGCCGCGCCAGCCTCGCGGAGCAGCCGGGCGCACTCGATCTGGCCCTCCTGGCATGCAATAAACAGCGCGGAAGCGCCGCCGCCATTCGTCGCCCCGACGCTCGCGCCGCCCTCGAGCAGCAGCCGCACCGCCTCGGCCTGCCCGTGCCGAGCGGCCCAGGTGAGCAGCGTGTCCTGCTTCTCGGTGTCGTGCCGCGCGTCGAGCTGGGCCGCGAGCGACGTGCCGCGCGTCCGCCGCCCGGAGAGGAAGCCGCGCAGCCAGGCCAGGTCGCCCCGAGCCAGGTCGGCGAGCTGGGTTGGGAGGATGGCGCCGCTCATGCCAGCCAGTCAAATTTCTTTTCTTTGGACTACATTGGGCCCGGACGTAAAATTCTTTTTCTTTGACTTACCCGGGCCTGGCCCCAGAGACTCGTGGTCAGGTGGGAGCAGGCGGACATCGCTTCCAGGGAGGGGGGCGCACTTCTGCTCACGCCCCACCCCCCCTATGTGGTGAAGCCTCTGGGGGGGTCGGGACCCCCCCCCTAGCATGTGGTGAAGCCTCTGGGGGGGGTCGGACCCCCCCCCTAGCATGTGGTGGGCACCCCCCGGGAGGTCGTGGGCTAAGAATACCCGCCAGAGAGCCGATTTTGCCCCCAAAATTGTGAAATCGTGGCTGAAAGACCGGTATGTTGGGGAATCTGACCAGTCTCAAGGCTCATGTAGCTCCAAAAGATGATTTTCCCCTCGAAAATGCTGCAAAATGAGGCGTAAAATCAAGGGCCCGGAGGGTCTGACCACGAGTCTCTGGGGGGGTCCTCGGCCACGACCCCCCCCCTAGCATGTGGTGAAGGTGCTGGGGGGGGCGGGACCCCCCCCCCCAGCATGTGGAAGGTATTTTAAGGACAGTCACCCAGTCCGATGGAAGGTAGTTTATCGCCGTCACCCAGGCGCAGGATGCTTTACGCCGCATTCCCGGCGACCTTCCATGTGGGCCAGCTCCGTGGGCCAGCTCCGTGGGCCAGCCTCCGTGGGCCAGCTCCGTGGGCCAGCTCCGTGGGCCAGCTCCGGAAGGTAACCGTCTGCCCAAGGCGGTGCCTCTCTGCGTCCGTCGCGTTCGGCGCCGGTGCCAGTGAGCGTCCGCAGGTTCCTCGCGCGTCCGGCTGGCCGGTGCCGCGAGCGTCCCAAAGTGGTACCTTGCAGGCCCGGCTTCTAGGCGCCACAGCATTGGGCTTTAGGCGCCACAGCCTGACTGTGCAAGCTTCCGAGCAGACGGGTTTGGATGCTTTGCGCCGCATTCCTGGCGACCCGCCAAGAGCCTCCAGGGAGACGGCGGGTGGGTGGCTGAGCCGGCTCGGCTTCTAGGCGCCACAGCATTAGGCTTTAGGCGCCACAGCCTGAGCCCCGCCGGCGGTGAGGGTCCACCAGACGGGTACCAGCTGCCGGGGTGGCGACGGGGGGCACCGCCGCCAGGGCGGCGGGGCGCAGCGCAAAACCGCCACGCCGCCGCCGAGCATGCCGCAGCAGCGGACCGCGCCCAGCCTCTGGGCGCCACAGCATTGGGCTTTAGGCGCCCAGTCTGGGCCCCGCCGACGGTGAGGGGTCCGCCAGACGGGTGCCAGTTGCCGGGGCGGCGACGGGGTGCACTGCCGCCACGACCCGCCGAGATGCCTTGTCGCTATCAGGCGCAAAATCGCCACGCCGCCGCCGAGCATGCCGCAGCAGCGGACCGCGCCCAGCCTCTGGGCGCCACAGCATTAGGCTTTAGGCGCCACAGTCTGAGCCCCGCCGACGGTGAGAAGTCCACCAGGCGGGTGCCAGTCGCCGGGGCGGCGACGGGGTGCACTGCCGCCACGGCGGAGGGGCGCAACGCAAACCGCCACGCCGCTGCCGAGCGCGTCGTGGCTCGGCTGGCAGCGCGCGTCGCAGAGGGCAAGAGGCGAGCGCGCCCCACCGCAGCGAGAGGCGCTGTCGGGCCCACCAGAACAGGCGCCGGGACAGCGACAGGGCGCACCGCCGCACGGCGGCGGAGCGCAACGCGAGCCGTCCTCGCTAAAGACCGCCGCCTCCGCGGAGTCAGGCAGCACCGACCCAAGCCCCGCGATGAAGGCGATCATCAGCAGCGTGCGGAGGAAGTCCTCGCTAAAGACCCCCGCCTCCGCGGAGTCAGGCAGCACCGACCCAAGCCCCGCGATGAAGGCGATCATCAGCAGCGTGCGGAGGAAGTCCTCGCTAAAGACCGCCGCCTCCGCGGAGTCAGGCAGCACCGACCCAAGCCCCGCGATGAAGGCGATCATCAGCAGCGTGCGGAGGAAGTCCTCGCTAAAGACCGCCGCCTCCGCGGAGTCAGGCAGCACCGACCCAAGCCCCGCGATGAAGGCGATCATCAGCAGCGTGCGACCACACCGCCGCTGAGCGCGTCGTGGCAGCCGAAGGCGCCGCGGCTCGGCTGGCGACGCAAAGGAAGAGGCGAGCGCGCTTCACCGGCGGCGAGAGGCGCTGCCGGGCCCAACAAATATGTGCGCCAGGACAGCGACGGGGCGCACCGCCGC